ATCCGCCGGTGGGCCCGGGCGGCGAGGGGCTGTGGCGTGTCGGCCTGGCAGCCTGCGGGGAAGGTGTGCTTGCCCGCCGAGCCATGTCCGAAGGGAGACTCTGGAGGCTTCTTTTTTCGACACATTTAAATGATCCAACCCACCTTTTAAGTGCAGAGAGGGACATTTCTATAGGAGAACGGTTGTTTTCATAAATCTGCTCTACGTGGCACTTGGTGACATCTCAGTTTAGCTGCTGTGCGCATGGATGAAGTCATCAGCTGTCCCACTCTGCAGCTCTTTAACCTCATATTTTGCTCTAGAAACAGCGCTGAGTTCTCCTGTGTATCCCCTGTCAGCTGTAAGGATCCATTGAACAGCAGTGCCCCAGGGCCTGGGACACTACTCAGTGTCATGTATAGATAACTTCATGACAGCTAACAAAGCATATCTACACTATTTTATAAGACTTAGCTAATAACCCTGTTGTTTTCTGACATTTTATTATGTTTAAAATCCGGGGTCTAGATGTAATCACTGCTTTTCTTGGTCTGAAATGCAGAGCAAATGGAGGTTTTGTCCTGGTGAAGGTAATCTGGAGCCCCCTGGACCATTAGTGGTCCAGCCTTCTTTTGTTTAAACCCAGGCCTTACCGTGAAGGCAAGTGCTAAAATGATTGCATCACCTAGATTTTGAAAAGGCTAGGTTAACCTTTTGTAGTTAATTAAAAATTTGCACTCCCCAGTATAACACAGGTTACTAGATGAGTGTAAAAGGAAGTGAATGTGGTATTAATAGACTGGTGTTAGCCACTACAGTATGCGCTTGCGATAGTGCACAAAAAGGAACTGAGTAAGAGTTGCTGTTCTTATCATGAAGACTTAGACTGCAAATAAATATATGTCAAAATGTGTTTTAAAATGTCATTTCTGACAGGAACTTCCATAAGTGTTCTGGAGGTGGGCATTTTCCTTTAGCAGCCCCTTGCCCTCAGGATGCTGCCATCTTTTCTTCCATAGCAACAAAGTTTATGTCAAAAGTCCTGCTATACATGCTAAATAATCTTTCTTTTTTTTCATTGGGGAGGAGGAGAGAGAGAGGGAGCAATACAAGTTCTAGCAAATGCTGACATCTGTTCGTGTTCTGTAGTTTAAGCCACTAAATTAGACCACAGAATGACAGAACAGCCCAGGTTGGAAGGGACCTTGAAAGACCTTCTGGTCCAACATTTCATGGGAAAGGGAGCATAGAAAAAACTATCTAGCACCCTGCCCAATGGCATCTCGAAAACCTTCAGTGATGGGGAGGTTGTTCCAGTAGATGATTCTTCTTACCTTAAAAAAATTCTTACATTGAGATGAAAGATGGGCAACCCATTACCAGAAGGACGAAAGATGGAAAACCCATTACCAGAAGGAGGCTGCTTCCTTCTCCTGGTATCATAAAGTCTTGATTGTCTAGAGGATTTGTCTCAGAGAATAATGCTGTTGTGAGCCACAGGCAACTGCTGCCTCAGTTTGGTTCACCTCCCAACACGTCTACAAAAGAAGAACAGTGTTTAGACCCAGCCTTAGTTCCCTAATGTAGGAGAAAAAGCTAAAGAAAACCCTTCTACAATGAATTCTTGGAGAACTACTGTGTAACCTTTGAAAGCTAAAGGAATTTGAGTTAAAACAACAGTTGCCCCAGACTATAAAAGCCTGGAAGTCTGTTAGGTCCTACTTGTGAATTTGCTGAGTTTTGTGGTGCATCCCAAAACACTAATTACTGTCATCAGAGCTGATCCAGTTAATTTATTTTGCCACAAGCTGTCTCTTTCTTATACAAGCTACTATATAATACTTAAGAAGTACTACAGAAAATGAAAGTCTTGACATCCATGGACTTCAGGTCAAACCCATGTACTACTTGGATTCTCCAGTAGCGCTGTGATACCTTTTCTAGGAGTGATCTTACTCAGGTAGACCTTTTCCCATCCTGCAATTCTTTTCAAAGAAATGAGATCAATCATAATACTTTAAAATACATATTTTAATGTATTCTACAAAAATATTAGTGTATTTACACAAATTTCTCAAAAATATTTTGTACTTGCCTATTTTAAAACATCGAGTTCAAAAAAAGTTCAGCCAGATGACTACATTACACAAACTTGAAAGAACATTCAGTGTAGATATGAGCAATTAAAAAAATACAACAAAGAAACACATACCATTGCATTAACAGTAAGTGAGTGCACATTTTTAAATTGCTAGCTTCCACAAATTGTTCTTCCCATAAAAATTGCTTTGTCTGTGTCAGTAACTTTTACCCTGGAATTTGCATTTCCTTTTTCTTCACAGAATCCCCCTCCCCTTTTGCTTATACAAAGGTTGCAATAAAATGCATTACAGTAGTATTTCATTTACAAAACAAATGACATTAAAACTTGTTTCTTAACCCATTGGATTGTATTTCAGTAAAACAATGTCCTTTCATGGAGGTGCAACAGAGATTCCAAGGCTGTCAGGATGTGGAGAATGATCTCTCTCTCGAAGCAGTCCTGCCTGGAAAGGGTGACTTGAATTGCTGCATGATGCTGTGTCGATTCCTCTTTGGAGGGATCTCATCTTCAGGTTTGGCAATTAGGATAGCGTGTTAAACATTGTATTTAGTCAAAATAAATACAAATAAATTAAAAACAAATTATGGATGAAAATTATTTTCTCGTTGATATTGCTTGGAGGAAAGCTTAGCAATGAAGCTTGTGGCAATATCTAGATTATACATGAATGGCAGGTCCATTTATTTCAGTAGTACTCTCTGAACAAGGTAAAAACAGCCATGAACATGGATGTAATTTTGGAGAAAGATAGTAGTGATCTTCTTTCAAACTTTGTTAGGAAACCATTTTCCTGTGGAAAAGAACATGCACAATTAGGGAGAGCTTAAAAATAAAGTGTGTAGGAAAAACATGCCACACTCTGGTAGTATCAGATTAACAGGGTGCTACAGCATTGTGCATAGAGGCGCAGGTTTTCACAGCTCTACCTCCAAAAGATGAATAGGCCTTTAAAAACTAGCTGAAAATAGCTGCCCCTTGCTGAATGTTTGTTTTATCTCCAAGTCAAGCCTCTGCCCTCCTTGTGTAAATAGAAAATGAATGTGAACTGTATCATCTGAGCCCACATCTTCAAGGAAGATAACAAGTACTATGTTTCTGATGTAGTAATATAAATATCTTCCTTTAAGCCTCCTTATTCTACTATGATGAGCCACATATTATGACAGAATGTTTCCAGGAGTTGATACTTCTCTTAAATAAAATTTGCTATATTTGAAAGAGATGGAGAGAGAAACCTTTGCAATAAATCTGATGCATCAAGGGTCCATGACTCACTGTCACCTTTTTTTACTGCTACCAGAAGGAGAAGGAGAAAAACAAGCAAAAGAGAAAAAGGGAAAAGCAAGACACTAGAAAACAAGTGAGGGGAAAAAAAAGAATAGCAAATAGGGAATGTAAAAGAATTGGGACGAGAGAGGTGGAAAGAGTAACATTTACATATAGGTAAAGGAAAAAAGTACCAAGGAAATAACTGGCTCTGATGTCATTGATTCTCAGCTTCCCCTAATGGCAAAAGAAAAAAGTATTGGCAGGATGAAACTCTGCAAAGCAAAAGGGACTTCCCCTCCACTGGCAGAAGGGTATTTCAGCAGGTTGGCAAAATAATCCACATATTGACAAATGCTTTTCTCAGCATTGACCATTGATATATGGAAGTTGTAGGATTATCTCAGTCCAGATGAACAAAAAAGATTTAACCCCAATTGCACTTACCTGTAAATTTGTTTAAGTAAAACTGATTTGGGGGATTAAATAATGACTTTGTTGAAATCCACAGCAAAAGTACTGACTTCAGCTGTGAGGATCGCACCTGTGTATTCTTCTCTTACCTTGGACTTCAGTATGTTTGGACCAACTCCTCTATACACTAACGTTAGGATGTCACTTATTTTTAGATTTAATAATAGGAAAGTTGATGGCATGCACAGTTTAACCTGCTTTGAGCAGGAGGCTGAGCCAAATGGTTTCCTAAGGTCCCTCTCAACTTCAGTTATTGTATGATCCAATGATTCACAACTAACTCTAGAGTTTCGACTGTTACAGGTACAGCAAGTCCCTTTTTAAAAAGAAAGTTATCTTTTAGCATTGTTCTATTTAAAGCAGAAGCAAAGCTTTCACTGTAAGTCTCAAGGAGACATTCCAGACATCAAATATTAAACCACCAAATAAAACCCCGAATAAAATGTTTTTGACAGTGTCTGTAACAATAGTTTCCCTTAATTAAACAAAATCTCCTAATCTAGACTTTGGTGGAAAATGAGAAACTTACCCAGCCACCGTTCGCATCTATCCATTCAGCTTTGTTGTTTATTATGTACTCTGTGATGAAATAAGAAATCTGTTCCTTCTCCTCTCCAGTCAGCTGAACTCCGTGCTCTTGAAGCTTCTTAGTGAGAAGACCTCCAAAAGTAAAGATGGTCATAATTCGTCCCCAGTTAGTATTTCCATCAGCAAATTTTTCTTCCATGACACCATTGAAAATTCTCTTGGCAACAGCGACAGAGGTAATATCAATCTTGTCCAGGAATGGTCTGAGAGCCTCCTCGGTTTGATCTTGCAGCGAAGATGCAGTGTTTCGCAAGACGTGAGCAACCCTGGTTTGGGCTGGTCCGAGATGTGATTCCTGAAGCACATATTGCAGATAATCTTGAGCTAAGTAATAAACGTAATAAAACTCAGCAGTTTCCATTTAGAACGTAACTCGGAGAGCAGTGCACCTCTCTTAATCAGGGTCAGCAATGAGCAGCCACAGGACGTGCACACAGCTTTGTATCGTCTGGTTTTGATGGAATTTTTTTGCTTTTACCACAGAAGTTCCTGTAAAAACCTAGTGACTTAATGATTGTGTGGGTTGTGGAATATGTCACAGCGGAAATGAAAGAAAAAGTGTCTGCTCAAGGGGAGAAACATGTCGTCTTGAGTGATTTATTATTTCTCTGAATAGTATGATTCCACAACTAAAATCTACCAGCTTTTACCACATTCTTCAGCAGTATCAATTGGCATTTCCTAGGGACTTTTTCTCTGTAACGCTAGCAAAAGTTTGGCATTTGTCTTACCAACTGCTGAGAGTGGTGCATGCTAGCAAAGATTAAGCATTCGGCTTGAAAAAACGTGCCTAAAATGTGTATGCTAGAGGAGCGTGCAGCCACCCCCATCTTCCCCCACCCCAATCTCTTCATTGCCGGGGTTAAGGCTGCAATCCGTATTGCAGGTTTATGGGTTATTTCTGGTTCACAACTTTTTGAAGGAAGTGGTAGACATTTCCAACAGGATGGAAGAATGGATAAACTTTCTTCAACGCTCAGGGAGCTTTACATATCTGCAAAAAGTGGGAACATAACAGTGGTAAAAGTACAGATGGAAAAAGGGGAAAGCCAGCTTTATAGCATTATCCCCTGTTACAAACTTTCCCACACTCTCTCTGTGACTGCTCTTCAAGGTCCTTCTTTGAAGATTTGGATGGGTAGCTTCAAAGATTTCTTTCCCCCACGGGGAGTTCTGCCGTAAAAGACATTATTAGTATAAAAGACAATGCTAATGCAGTCAGCATGTCAGAACACAGGATGGAAACTATGGGGCCAAGCTAGTGATGTGTGATACCATCTGAATCTTTCGTGACAGGTAACAAAGAAGTATGGTACCTACCACAACTGCTCTTAGGCTCAGATTTTTGGTCAAGGAGTTATTTTTTGGGAGAAGGGGCAGGAGAGTCTTGCCCACTCATTCCTTGCAAACCTCTTCTTCTGACACAACCTGATCTTGCTAAGGGGTTGGGATGTGTCTGTAGAGAACCTCACCCCATTGCAAAGGCTTCAGAGCAGCAAGCAATCTGATGTTTGGAGACCTCTCTCATTCTCCATCCCCCTTTCTTCATCCCTCTGCTTCTGACCCACCTCTCATTCACGCCTCTTCCTTCTCTGAAAGCAAAAGGCATTCCCAGCCCCTAGTCCCGGGCATTCCCTGAAGCTCAGATTTACGGAAGATGAGTGAGGCTGCATGCCTGGTGGCCAGCACAGGGCTTGAGTCTCAGACGCCAGGATAGCGCTGGCACCTAATCATACTGGAGCAAAGCATATCTGGACTGTGACACAGCTCTGGTGTCAGTATGTTGCTAACCCTAGCTAGCTTCCCCAAAATGTGTATGCTGCTGCTCTGACATCACAGTTTTACAGCAACCCATTGAGTAGACCAGGGTAGTTTGTAGTACCGTCTCAGTTTTTTTCATCAGTATGTGGTGACTCTGGCTGAGAATGACACAGTAGTCTTCCATGCACGGTGGGGTTTGAAACCTCAAGCTATCACCAGCATAGCACAGACATCAATCACTTCGCTGATTCAGGAAAATATTTCCCTCGATTTCTCTTGGAAGCAAAGAAGGAGGTGGCTTGGTGCTGCGTTGCCCTTTGGGAGAGGATGGGTTTAGGAGGGCAGTGTGAGCTGGAAAAACTCTCATGTTAGATGTTACCCCTGGGGAAGGATGCGATGGTAGGACTCGGAATGGGCTGGGAGTGACTGGGAATGGGCTGGGGGTGGGAAGCGAGCTCTCCCCTCCTCCATACACACGCACGTTCTTACCAAATCTCATTTTGAAAGTTCAGAGGTGTCCTCTATCCAATACCTGCAGCTGCTGCTTTGGCAGAGAAAGCCGTTATGTTGGCTTTGCCTTTGTTATGTTCAGTGACTTCAGCAAACTGCCAACATTTTATGAGGAATGCAAATGAAAAAAAAAAAAAAAAAAGAAGGATGCGACAGTCCTTAACTCTTCCCAACTCAGCTAAATCTGGGCAGAAATTTCTGGGGCAGAGGGAAGGCATTGCCCTACCCAGACAGCTTCCCTCCCTCAGATGCTTGCTGCCAACAAGGCTGAGAGAGGGACTCGAGGAAAAATCACAAGAATCCTTTTTCTATATAGCACAGTCTGAAGTTATAGATCACTCCTGACTCTCTTAATAATTGATTAATGGAAAGCTTTTTGTATTCTTTGTGAATATAAGCGATAGTTGTATATGAGAACAGTGAGCAAGACGTAAGGAGACAAGTTTTGTTTTCTTCACCATCAACAGCGGCAGCGCAGGAGCAGAAGCAGATACTTCTTCATTAGTGGAGCGTGTAGGAATCTGAGGAGGGTGATGAAATAAGGCTATGAATATGCCACCATTATTGAAAGAAAATCAATGTTAATACCTTGGCAATTTTGGTGCAAATGCTGCCACTTACAGTCTCTCGATCTGTTAAAGGGCTGCAAGGCGAAGCGGGGCGCTGGGCTCCCAGGAGGGGGTGGCAGCTCTCAGCAGACATCTCCAGCAGCAAGCTGTGACACTGGTGACCGCAGCCCGGGATGCGGCTGTTGAAGCTGCCCCAGGTCTATCGACTTCAATGTTAGACACATTTGCTTTGCAATACCATGCAGCGGAGGGTGCAGTGCTAAGTGTTGGATGTTTAGTGGCAATGACAAGTTATGTATCTGTATACATGAAAAGTCAGACCAGAGTGCGTAGCCCGGTCTTCCCAAGCTCTAATGGTCAACTCTGAGCACTGGAAGAAATCAGCTTTGGGATCTCTTGCCTGTATCATGCCACTCTGACACTCTGATTCTCACTTTCTACATTAGGCACAGCCTCCTTTTCTCCTACCAGACTTTATTCACATTTTGTAGTTGTCAGTGAATAGCTTTAACTTAATGAATGTCTACTTTTCTTCCTACCTTTTCTGTGTCCTCAGTGCTGCATAGAGTGCATTCTCAGAGTGTATCGCTTCTTTCTTCTGTTCCTCTTTGCTGTATATACTTTGGCTTTTATAAATGATTAGTGTTAATAAACAAAAAGTTTGAAACAGAAACCAGCTTGACATGGAAGCTCAAATGCAAACCCTCCCCTCACTACCTGGCATAGCAATGGGCTTCAAATACTTTAATTTAAATCTGTGCTCTGTGGATTTGACTCCACATCCTACCCTAACCTCAGAAAGGCTTATTTTCCAGAACAGATGGGAACTGAGTTGACAGATCCTCATAAAATTGACTTGTGAGAGACGATGTTATCTCATTGTGTTCGAGACAAAACTAAGCCAAAATGACAAAAGCTTTGTTGAGCTATTTGTGCTGCATCTGCCTTGCCAGAGTTGTTCCAGTTCCAGGTGAATGTGGGAACCATGAGCTCTTCTAAGGCAGCTGAGCTTTGTCTGGAGGAACAGTCTGAGGCCTTGAGAAAATTCCTACAGATTTTTTTTTTTCTAGTTTTCTTCCCTTTCTGATGTCCAAACCAGGATGATTTTTGTGTGGTATTGGATTTCATTGCAGAAGAACGGCTCAGTTCCCTTGCAGCTTTCCAGCTGTCCTGCACAGCCCTGATATAAGACTTCAGGAGGCTTTGGTGACTTTTATTTACCCTCTATTTTCCTATAAATTGGAATATGCAAGCTGGCTTTTCTGTGAGCTGAAACGGAGGGTTGGTTTTGCAGGCAGAGGCGGGTTAGCCCAGTGGAGTGCTGCCACCTAGTCGCAGCCGTCCTGGCTGCAGGCAGAGGGGGAGCCCGGCCAGGAGAAAGCCCCCCTCCCACCTCCCTGCATCTCGAATACACCTTCACATCTTCTGTGCTTTGAGATTCTAGATGCGGGGTGCGGAAAAAAAACACCACCACCACCCCCCAAAAAAAAACCACCCCAAAACCTCAAATAGAATAGCACTGGGGCTTGTCCACAGTAATGATCTAAATTAATAAATGATATTGTGTTTTCTGAAGATTTCTGTCAGCTGGGAAGCACCGAAGTCTCCAGTCCAAAGCTTGGAAAGGTCATCTCCATAAAAAGTTTTGGGAGCAGTTCATTCTAAAACACTTCAGCTCGTCTCCTAATGTTTCTAGGATGGAGACAAAATAGGAAATATCTGTAGCAAGATCCTGGATCTCAAATTCTGTGGCAATTGAAGGAGAGACTTATAGCCAGCTTACATTCTCTGTGTCTCAGGAGATGCAGATGTAGCACAAAAGATGAACTCTAGGAAGGGTAGGAGGATGCCGCTGTTTTTTTCATCTTCTGGGCCAACTGGGAGATTCTGGGCCAATTGGAAAGCTAAAGTGTTCCCCAACATAAACTAAAGCAGGTAGCTACTCCAGCTTTCTGCTGAGCTGTGGTGCAGTCCAGAATGACTGAGGGCGGACCAATTATGGCATAAGGTCTCTCCTGCCCCCAAAATAGCACGCAGCAAAGGCTGGGAGGATGGATCATATGAAGATGCACATTGTGGCTCTCCATTGCTCAGGCATGAGAAGAATTCTCTGAGAGGCCATTTCACTCCGCTTATGACTCCTCCATAGCACTCCAGAGACACAAGGGAGCTGTAGGAAGGGCTCGGTTTGGCCGTGTTACTCAGGGTTCAGCTGCTGCCTCGTCACTTCCTCTGGTAACTCAGCTCAGCTCAGAACTTGGCTTCTTCTGGATCCCAGCTTCTGTCATCATCGTGAGTCAGGGAGGCAGCCAAACACGCTGCTCCACTATGCATGTGCCATGTGTCATCATATGCATGTGTGTAGACACATGTTCTACATTCTCGTAAGCCTTTCCAAATGTTTATCTAGGATTAGGAGAATTTGAACAAATAGTCATAGTTGTCAGCAGCGAGCCACTGAAATGTCAGGCTCCCTAAGCCTCCCAGAGAAGGGAGCATGAACGAGTAAAGTCTTGGTAGAAGCTTAGTGAGATCTTGCAGATGCCAGCAGAAACACTGTCTGCCGGAGCCAGCGTCATTGCTCTAAATAGTTGCTCCCAGA